GGCGCGGACGGCGCCCAGCCCGCAGCGGAGCCCGCCGAGGCGCCCGCGGAGGCCGCGGCCGAGAGCGGCGCCTGTGCCGCCAGCGACGCCGACCGGACGCCGGACAAGACCTTCTCCAGCAGCAGCTTCCCCAGCGCGGACGAGGGCAGCGACGAGGACACGGCCGAGCTGACCTCCGGCGTCTTCACCGACTTCTCCGGGGAATACACGGAGCGGGCGGAGGCGGCCCCGGCGCTCAGGTCCCTGCAGAAGCAGGTGGGGACGCCGGACTCGCTGGAGTCGCTGGACATCCCCTCCACGGCCAGCTCCTGCGAGGTGCTCAGCCCCGGCGCCTTCGCGCCCGCCGGCCAGGCCCGGGCCCTCGACAGCGGCTACGACACCGAGAACAACGAGTCCCCCGAGTTCGTCCTCAAGGAGCCCCACGAGCCCCGAGAGCCCGAGGCCTTAAGCCAGCTGGGCAAGCCGCCCCCGGGGCTGCCGGGGGGCGAGGGCGAGGCTGCGGCCCCCGAGACGCGGCTGCCCAGCGGCCCGGGGCCCGAGCCGGCCGGCCTGGCCGAGAAGAGCCCCTACCGCGACTCTGCCTATTTCTCCGACGGTGACGCCGAGGCCGAGCGCGGCCACAAGGACGAGGGGGACAGCGATGGGTCCCGCACGCCGGAGGCAGAGGAGGGTCCCCGCTCCCCTTTGCAGGACATAGGGCGAGGAGAGGACCCGCTGCACCCGCCGGGGGCACCCGGCAGCCCCCCGGCGGCGCCTGGCGTCGCGGTGGCGGTGCCCACGGCAGCGGCGGTGGCTTTGGAGGGGGACTGGGTGGCGACAGGGGCCGGGAGCTCACCGGAGCAGGTGCCTGGCACCGAGCAGAGCCCCGCTGGCACGGGGCTGGTGCCGGGCAGCCCCCCGCGCCCTGACACAGACACCTGTCCCCCAGGCTCTGTCACCCCCAAGACTTTCCTCTTGACCCCAGTGCCAGTGAGCCCTGGGGAGCCATCAGCTGTTGGAGGGACCTGCGTGTCTGAGGGCCTCCCTGGACTTGGGGGGGCCACAGTGGGGGACAAACAGACTGTGACCCCTGCTCTGGGGCTTGGGGAGCAGGGGCTGCCCCTGGAGGGGTCTGGGGCAGGTGACGCGCCGGGGGGTCCCAGCACTCTGGTCCCTGGGGGCGAATCACCGCCGGGTCTCTCCCCGGCCCCAGCTGCCCCCGAGCGCCGCGAGGAGCCAGAGGAGGAGGAGGAGGACACAGAAGACAGCGACGAGTCAGATGAGGAGCTGCGCTGCTACAACATCCAGGAGCAGAGCGAGGAGAGCGAGGAGGAGCCGGCGGCCGTGCCCATCGTGGTGGCCGAGAGCCAGAGCGGCCGGAACCTGCGCAGCCTCCTCAAGATGCCCAGCCTGCTGTCCGAGTCCTTCTGCGAGGACCTGGAGCGCAAGAAAAAGGCCGTCTCCTTCTACGACGATGTGACCATCTACCTCTTCGACCAGGTGGGTGCTCTGGGAGACAGAAGCAGGTACTGTGCATGCCTCCGTGTCATTTTGGTGATGGGAGCCGTCTCCAGCCGAGCCCCCACTGAGGTTCCTTCCTGTTTCCCCATCCTCAGGAAAGCCCCACGCGGGAGCTGGCTGAGCAGAGCTTCCCAGAGCCCACCCTGCCTTCGGGGCAGCCCCCCTCGCCTTCGGGGCAGCCCCCTGCCAGTGGCAGCCCCCCCAGCCCCACGGACAGGCTCGGAGCCTCTGACGACTCTTCGGACGGCAACGCCTCGGAAGAGAGTAAGAGACCAGGAGCTCGTGGGGCTGGTGATTATGGGGTGGTGGCAGCAGTTACGGGGTCATGGAGAGGCAGTTATAGGGTGATGGGGACAGTAGTTATGGCATGATGGAGGGCCACTTATGGGGTGATGGGGTTAGAGGTTGTGGGGCTCACAGTGGGCTCAGCCCCCTCACTTTGTATCCCAGGTGGTGGCTTCGAGTGGGACGATGACTTCCCACTGATGCCAGTGAAGCAGTCCCTGGTGGCCGCGCTGCCGGGGACGCCGGCAGAGCCCCCCGCGGCCGTGCCCGCCCTGGTGCCGGCGCAGAAACAGGTGCTGCCCATCCAGTTCTCCCGGTTCACGGTCTCACCCGCCCCGGTGTCCCGGTTCTCCATCACCCACGTCTCCGACTCAGACATGGACTCCATAGGAGGTGAGTCCCCCTCGGGATGCCGCTCTGTGGGTGCCCAGCGCGGCCGTGTCCCAGTGCCATGCACGCTGGCAGCCACGGGACGCCGTGTCCCTGTGCCCCATGGGGACGCTCACCCCTGCGAAGGGCTGGCTGTCCCGTGGGGGTCCGGGACCCTCTGAAGGCTCTCTCTGCTCGTTGCAGGCAGCAGCGAAGACGGTGACCGGGAGTGAGCCCGCGGGACGCAGCCGGCATTGCCCTGGCAGCGGGGCGGCGCGGGCCGGCGGGGCCGGCGCGGGGGCCGCCCGTGGGCTCCCAGACCCCGCTCGGCAGTTTTTAGGCAGATTTTATCACAAGGAACTCGTTTGCTGCTTCGAGTGGGAGCGGGGCCGGCGCGGCCCCCGCGGGGCCAGGCGGTGGGTGACGGTGACGCCGTGCGCGTGTGCGGGTGGCTGTGAGCGTGCGTGTAAAATAGACACTTATATATATATATATACATATATATATATAAATTATAGCGTTTCAAGGGTAGTGCCCTGACCTTGCTAACATTTGCGGAGTGTCCTCCCCAGTGAAGTTCCCCCTTGGCTTCTTGCCTACATGTGCTCCCCGAGGCAGTTTGTCCCCACACCCCTTCTCCCCCGGGCTGTCCCCCTCCCTGTGCCCTGTGCTCAGTCTTGCACCTTGTGGCAGCTTGGCTGTCCCACAGCTGTCCCACAGCGGCCCCATGGCTGCCCCAGAGGCACTCCATGACATTCCTGACCAAGGGGCTGGCTGCTGCCAGTCTGGATGTCACTTCCTGTGCCAGGGGTGCCACCAGCTACCCAGAGTGGTCCCCATGGCTTTGGAGCTCCCCTCCCTTGGTTTGCAGGGATCAGTCCCAGCTGGGGACCCTGAGGACTGCTGGGACCCCTGCCCATTGTAGCGGGGAGCAGCATGTGGAGGGCTGGTTGTGGGGGGAGTATCCCCCACCGGGACCCGTCAACCTGACTATTTTTGTATTTAAACAAAATTACTAAAAAACCCCAACCCCACCCCAAACCCAAAACTTGCTGTTGACCGAACCCACATTGAAGCGATTTTAAGTTATTGCTGCCAAAGAGACTTATTGGGGAGGGGGGGAGGGGGGCGCGCTCGTGGTTCTTTGTTGTTTTGGGTTTTTTTGTTTTGTTTTTTTCTTTTTGTTTTGGTTTTTTTTTTTTTTTCTAAAATTCATTCGAGGCTTAGGATAATTGTGCAATTCCAGCTTCCGGAAGGAAATAGAAGTAAGCGGAGCTGAGCGAAACCTTGAATTCAGGGCTGGTTCCTTTTGGGGTCTATAGACCAAACCCTGAGGTGAGAAATGTCCCCCCTGAGCCCCTGCCCCTCTCCTGGCTCCTGTGTAGGGGGATGAGGGACACTGCACAGACAGCCCCCACGTGGGATGGGGCTGGTGCCCGGGGTTCTGCTCCATGCCACAGAGGATCCCACCCTGGGCTGGACACAGCTCTGGCAGCAGGACCCATGGGCTGAGCCTGTCCCCAGCCCAGCCTGGCACCAGTGCTGGCAGAGGTGTCCCCATACTCACCTACCCTTCTCCCGCCCTCTCCCATGGCCAGCCCAGCCTGGAGCTGTGTCCCAGCTGGAGTGCCCTCGGTGCTCAGGGTGCTGTTGTGGGGGCCAGGGGCTGTTCCCCAGCCCAGGACTGTGGGGGACCCCAACATCAGCCCCAGGGTGGCCACGCCACCCCATACCCCCATGCTGGTTCCTCCCCCCTACTAAGCAGTTAGTGCTTATTTCAGTGTTTCATTCAAGCCCCCACCTGGCCTGTAACCCCCCCACCCCAATTCTCCCAAGCTTTTTCCTTCTCCTTTACAACAGGAGGGCCACCCCCTTTCCTGACCAGGGGTGCAGCACCCAGGGCTGCTGCCCACGCAGGACTGGGATGCTCCCAGGGTTCCCTTCCCTCAGTACCCACCCTCCTACCCCCTGATCCCCCCTTCCCTGCACTCCCCAACACTGGGGGGTGTTTGCTCAGCCCCTGGCACCCAGGGGTGCTGGTGCAGCCCCCACCCCACACCCCAGGTTTGGTCTATGGCGCCGCAGGTCCCGGCCCCCAGGGCGGATAAGGACAGAGCTGTGGCTTGGGTAACTTTTTTAATAGAAAGGCTCTTCTTACATGGTCTATTTTCTCAATACGGGTCATAATTGCTGTATTTTTTATCAGTGCTGATTTCCATACAGCTCCCAGCATGTGTGTCAAATCTCATCGGGCCAATAATAAAGTTTTTAAAATATCTTAAGCCGTTTCCTGCCCCGATCATTGCCCAGCACCCAGGATGGAGCCAGCTCAGGAGGGCCCCGGCCACGCTCCAGGGCCAGGCAGGAGCTTCTGGCCAGGGGAAACGCTGCAGGAGGGAGGGCTGGGGGAGGTTGAATTGCTCATAAATTATGTTTTCTGATAAAAAATTATTGCAGGTTACGTCTTACAGGTGCCACCGAGCCAGGAGGTGCAGCGAAGCCCCCGGGGGCTGGCTGGAGCCAGGGTGGCAGCTTGGGGGGCCCAGGGGACAGCCCCTGGCACGGGGGTGGAAGAGGACACTGCAGTGGCCAAGGGGACCCCAGGCCTGTCCCCAACACGGGCTGTGACCACCAGCCCTCTCCCACCACTGCCTCACCCCCCAGCAGAGCCCTTTCCCTTGCCCCTGCCCTGTCCACCCCGCACCCATCTGCTCCAGCCCTGGGAGAGGAAGAGGAGGCACATCATGGAGCTGGGAACCCTCGTGCAGAGCTGGAGCCTGGGCAGTCACAGGAGAAGCTGTTGTCCTGCAGTGGAGCTGGAAAACCCATCAGAGGGGACACAGGAGGGATGAGCCACCACGTCTGACTGGGACCGAGCCCCTGGGCTGGGGACACTCTGTGCCCTGCCCAGTGCCCAGCCAAGCAGCCACTGCCCGGGCTGTGGGGACCAGGACATGCTGCACCAGTGAGCAGAAAGTGCAAAAGGAGAAATACAACGGAAAAAGCAAAAACTGTTTGGGTTCAAGCCCTCACCCATGGGAGACACAGTTCCTGCCTGGAAACTCCTCTCCCTGTTTTTGAGCAAGGATGTGACCCTGGCCACTCAGGAGCTGCGGGAAGGGCTGCGGGAGCCACCTTCTCGTGGGCACCCCCAGCAGTAAGCTTAGCAAGTGTGTGTGTATATATATTGATATATATTGATCTCTATCTATCTCTCTCTCTCATGCAGCCCTAGGAATAGAGGAAGAGCAAACAGCCAAGCAAGAGGTCCGGATGGGAGCTCCTGTCTGCAGCGAGCAGGGGCACTCCAAGGCTCACTCACACACTGCCCTCTCCTCCACGAGTGGTTTTTTCCTAGCTTATATTTGACAGCAGTACCGTGATTCCCTGCAGCATCCCGAGCCCTGGCACAGCAGGAGCTCAGGGACCGGAGCTGACCCCGTGCCAGCGGGGGCTGCAGTGCTGGCACCCACTGCCCTGCCCCAGCCCGGAGCACGGCCTGGGCGCTGCCTGTGCCACCCACCATGCTTGGCTTGCAGGGGGGTCCCTCCTGTCTGGGCAGGGAGAGCAGGGGCACCGTGTCCTCTCTGCCTGGAGCACTGTGAGCCCACGGAGTTGTTCTCCAGCTGAGCCCGTTTCCCCACCCACAGCAAGCTGCTGCTGGGCCTGGGAGCCACCCCGGCTCTGGGACACGCTGCCCTGACTCCGGGAAGTGCCACCACACTCAGCACAGGCAGAGGACAGGTGACATGGCAGCGCTGTGACCCCCTGCCACCGAGGGAGTCTAGAGAAGAGAGAACTAGGGCACTAGCTTGAGCCTTTGGCTTTCAAAGCAGCAGGATTAATAAATTCGGCCTAGAAATGGAGTCCTGGGAAGCTGGGCATGCAGCAGCGAGGAGGAGGATGAGGAGGGTGAGGGGTGGCGAGTGCCACGCGGGCGCCAGTGCTCCCGGATCAGCTGATGAGCGGGGCCGAGCGGTCGTTTGTCACCGTTGGCTTCAGCTGGACGTTGGCAAAGGGGTTCCTGTGGAGGAAGAGGAAGAGGAAGGAAGAGTTAACAGGGTGTGGAGGCCTGGAGAGGACAGGGCACCGGCACAGCGAGCGGTGACTGGCGAGTCCCTGGGACCAGCAGCGTTTGGGAAGGGCTTCAACTGGAAAAGCTCTGCCTTGTGGAGCCCCCAGCCAAGCTGCCCCCACTCCTTGAGCTGCCCCCACTCCTCGGCTGCCCCCACAACTCTGCTCCTCTCCCAGCTAAGCCGTGGTGGGTCAGAGATGAGCCAAGCACAGCTGCAGGGGGAGTTCTATCTCACTCTCCTTCAGCCTAAAGCTGGGGATGCCAATGGGGGCCAGAGCTGATGAAGCTGCTCCAGCCTCCTCCAAGGCTGCACTCCAGCAGTTCCCACAGATGGGAGCACTGCGGGATCACCCAGCCCTGGAGCAGGGGGTTATGGCTTCACTCCTGCCAAGGGCAGAGCTGGCAGCTCCCTGCAGAGCCCTTGTGCTGCCTCTGGGGAAGTTAAATCCAAAAGGAAGTGTGGGAGAATAAGGACAGCTAGATGAGCTTGTCAGAGTCCAGGGCCCAGACAGGCTGACCTTGGGTTTCACCTACCTGGGGTGTCCCCAGCACTCTCCTGCTGCCATCGTCACCTGGCCAGGACAGGGTGCAAGGACTGCCTTGGCATGAGGAACATGCTTACCCCTTCTCCAGGAGGTCCCCTCTGTCCTTTCCCAGCAGGAGTTAATTCCTGGGGGTTGTGGGCAGCTCTGGGGGTCCCTCTAGCTGCCTGGGGAGCCACCAAGCACTCCCTGTCCTCCCTGCAGCCCCTCTGTCTCCTCTGCCCACTGACCCCAGCCCTCCCCAGGAGCCACACAGTCCTTGTGTCCCCAGTGGGAGCAATGGCCACAGCCCCCCATGCCAGGTGCCACAGCTGGGCCTCTGGCCAGTCACCCACCGTGGGGGCACAGCCCTGCTACCCCTGCACGGGTTCAGGTAAAGTGCTGTGGTTACCATGTGCACCTGCACCGAGCAGCTTTGGGATGGCCTGAGACATCTCCCAGAGCAGAAAGGAAGATGCTGGGACCTGCACGCCTCTGGGACAGGCACTCACTGTCAGCCCCAGGCCCCATCTCTGCCATCCCTCACCTCTCCACATTCGCTTTTTCTTTCCTTAAAAGATATATGACTTTTGCTTAAAAATAGGGTAATTAATTTCACACCTAATTAATGCAGCTGCTTAGATCACTTTCCCTCCCAAGATGCCAAAATAGATTCTCAGGACTGGAGGGAGAGGAAAAGTTGCTTTGATGAGTCACCCGGGGCTCATTTAACTCTTTCTGTACTGGCAGAGAGGAGCCACTGGGATGGAGCCTGCAGCTCCAGGGAAAGCAGCTCATGGATCAAAGAGAAACGGGGCAGGGACTCTCCAGGCTCTGCAGTGCCAGCGAGGAGGGTCTCAACTCCTGGGGAGGCTCCTGCATCCCGTCCCTGGGGCCAGGACCAGGAGGCTCCTGGGACGAGTCTACAACAAAAGAAGCTGCTCAAAAAACTTGCGGTTAGTGCGGACGTGCCCCGTGCCACCGGACACCTACAACCAAAGAGCTGGTCACGGGGAGCGGGGCAGCAGGAGCAGCAGGAGCAGCTCAGCATCCCGGCAAGCGCAGCCGCGGCAGCGGGCGAGCAGCAGAGGCAGCCGGGGAGCCCCGGAGCTCGGGGACAAGCGGTGACACAGGGAGGGGACGCGCTCGGCCGGTGCAGCGGGAAGCAGAGCGGTGGCACCGTCCCCGCGCAGCCCCGCGGCGTCACCCGCTGCCCAGCGCACCCAGGGCTCGGCCCCGCGACACCGTCACTTACTAACTACGGGCAGGGCCACCTCAAAACCTGGCCACTTCAACATCGGGGCTGCAAGGGAAACAGAAGGCAGGTTGGAGGACGCCGGGACGCTTGATGGGAACAGAAGGTCGTGGTTAAGGAGAGACTTAAGGCCACGAGCCGGTGGCCACCTGGCCCGAGAGCCCGCTGGCCACCCCGCACGCAGCGCTAGCAGGCAGAGGAAACAGGAGGAAAAAGAAGAAAAAGGAGGAAAAGTCGTGTTTATTGAGTCGCTGGTGCTGTGAGGAGGGGAAGGAAGGGCACGGCCAGCCGGGAGCTGAGGGAGTGCAGCGGCCGGGCACGGCGGGGGCTGCGGAAGGGAGGGGGCGGCTTCCTTCCCCCGTGCCGGCCATCGCCGCTTTCCCACCGCCGGGAAAGCGCAGCCGGAGCCTTGGCATGCGGGAGCAGGAGCAGCATCACCCCTCGGATGCTCAGGGAGGGGACCCGGCTCTAAAGCAGCTGTCGCTGCTCCCGCTCAGCGAAGCTGTTTAGTGCCGAGGGGCTGAGCGCGCACAGGCAGCATCCCCGGGGCCGGAGCAGGGAACAAAAACACGGCCTGGGAATGCGCGGTGGGCGATGCAGGCGCTGAGGGCAGCACGCAGGCACGGCAGCCGAAAAAGACACCGAGGCCCAGCTCAATGCAATAAATAAAACTTTTATTCAAACAATAACTCAGTACAGGGCACAATTCTCTCTGGCTTTTAAAAAAAGGTTTTTCAGCACTTTACAATCTCCACACAGGCTTTGCTAGGCTGGGTTTGTGGTTTTTTGTTTGTTTTTTTTCCCCCTCTACATTCAGTCATTCATGGTGAAATATCCTGGGTTAAAAATCCTTAGCAAAATTCGGACATCGATGCAGGAGGGGCTCAGAACAGTGTGCCCGTAGGCGAGGAGATAACCCAAAAACTGGTCCGGGGTGGGGGGGTCTATTGCCAGCAATGTCCCAGTAAACAGGCAATGTCAGAGGTCTTAAAAATCACATCAGAAAAAAGCGTGAACAGCTTTGCAGTGGAGACGGCCACGGGCACTGGGAGGGCTACGGCCAGGCTAGTGCGGAGCGGGACCCCCAGTGCGGGGTGGGAGCCCCCCGGGCACTGCCTTGCTCAGCCTGGTTTGGGCATGCGAGCAGTCCTCGGAGCCCCAGCCCTAGCGTGAGGTAACAATACCTTGCTACAAAAAATATATATATATATATATTTATAAAACAACCAGGAGTAACCCTTCGGGGGGGCTCCCACGGCCAGTGGGACCCCAGCCCAGAAGCAGCCCTTTGCCCGGGGCGGGAGCTCTGTGCCATCCGCTTCTCCCAAAGCCACCGCGGTGGCATGGAAGCGGATCGGGCCGAGGGGGAGGCGCGGGGACGCTGCCCCCCCTCCGGGAACGGCATCCCGGGCGCGGGCATCCCGGATGCTCAGTAACAGTACGGACACCAGAGGCCATGCATATGTGATCCAGTCTGGGAGTTTGGTCCAGGCTCGTGCGGGGCGGCCGGCGCGGCCCCTGGGGGGACAGTGCATCGCTAACATCACACGGGAGGACAAACACCGGGTCCCACTAAGTGACAACTGCGCCTGGGCTGTGAGCACAGACCTGGCAGCAGTTTCTGCTCCAAAAAGGCTTCAGAAACAAGGGCACTGTGAACACCAGGGAGGGGTGAGAAGCACCATGGTTTCCTTGAAGATCACAAGAGTTTCAAATCCAAAAGAAGTAGAGAAAGAGAAACGAAAGGGAAGGAAAAAAAAAGGGGGGGAAAGAAGCAGAAAGCTCTTCCAAGCAGCAAGGGGCCGCTGCGAGCCCAGGTGTCCTCACACCGTTGATACCAAACTGCCACTGCCGCTGCGGAACAAAGCACAGAGATGCCAGAGTGGCCGCGGGGCAGCACCGAGCTCACGGCACCGCGGGACCCATCACGGCCGAGCTCCACCCAGCCACGGGCTCGGCTCAGCCCCGGGAGCGAGACGGGGCAGCTCCGAGGCAGAGGGGACGGAGAAGGTGCCGGGGAAAGGCCCCAGATCGGGGGCTCTGCGTGGCTTCCCTATCCAGGCGTGAGCCCAGAGGAGGTCGGGAGACGCGACTCGCTGGAGGAGCACGAGCTTGGGGACACCAGGCTGGCCCTGGGACCTGCCCTCCCTGGGCCCCCCCACTCTCCCAGATGAGACCTGGCCCCATCCCAGTCACTGCCAGACTCTGGGGAGCCCATGCAGGGACCCCTGTGGGGACACAGCCCCACGGCTTCGCCCACAGCCAACACCAGCAGTTTGCAGGGAATGTGACAGGAAGGTGACATCTTACCTGTTGACAGACCTCGTCCCGTAGTCATCGAGACCCTGTGGAGAGGAGAGGAGGAAGGACAGTGAGGGACGTGTGGGCTGTGCCTGCTCAGGTGCCACCAGAGGGTCACATGAACAAACCAAAGTGCATCAGGACCCAGCGCCAAGAGCTGATGCATTTGGAGAGGAAAGGGAGATATGGAGATGATTGGAGTGGGATTCAGACAGCAGGGAGTGAAGTTCCACCACTCCCTGTAGATTTATCTGGCCAGACATGGAAAAGCAACTGGGAGAGAGCCCTGCTCTGCTCTGCCCAGTTCCTCTGAGGAACAGAGCTTTGGCTGCTGCTGAGACTGCTGGAAAGGGGCTGCACGACTGAAGAGACACCAGTGAAATGTTCTGTGGAAAGAGGGGTTGCCTGTATTCACTCCCACCAGAAACCCACAGGGTTTTGGACCATTTTCTCCTTCAGCCGGTGCTGAGAAGGCTTTGCAGGAACTGGGGGGCAAGTGGGGATCAGGCCTGCAGAACAACCCTCAAGGACCCTTCTTGAGCAAGGGCCTGTCCTGGGATACGACTGGAGCAGCTCTGCTCTCCATGACAAACATGGAGACAACTCCAGGAAAGAGGGAGGCTCTGGCCTCTGAGCTGGCCATGCAGCAGCAACCAGAGACCCACATTCCCACCTTCCCAGGAATGCTCCCAGTCCCAGCAGCAAATCCTGCTGGAAAACCCCAGCAAAACAGCAAGAAGTGGAGCTGTGCTTCCACCCCACTCCCTGCAGAGAGGACCAGATCCCATCTGATGTGCCCTGTGGAAGGGTAAGTGCTGACTGCCCTTCTCTCTCCCTCCTCATCCTCTCCCCTCTGCCAGCATGGCTCACCCCCTCATTGTGCTGGAGAGCTCCCCTACACCAGTAGCTCCTGGGTTAGGCTGATCCCATCTGCTGTGTATCCTCCCTGGCTTTTTATCCAAGAAGCCCTGGGCTTGCTTTGGACACTGGAATCCTGTCCAGGATCTGCCCCAGTGTCCCCACGGGACTGTCACCGGCTTGAAGTGGCACATGCCAGAGAAAACACTTCCAGCTGCCTGTGAGCAGCCTGTTTCTGGTGGGAGACTCCCATGGAGTCGGCAAGTGTTGTCCTTTGGGGGTTTACGGGGCCATTTTGTGCCACTGCCCCCCGTGCCTTGCCTGTTCCTCCCCATCCATGGGCTCCCTGCATCCCTTCACCCCAGCAGAGGTGCTGGGCAGGAGCAGTGTCCAGGCAAGGCACGCGGATCACCAGGCACAAAACAGCCAAATTTCCATAAATCCCAAGGGAAACATTGCAAGCGTCGGACTTACAGCTGTCGACCTAGTGTAAGGCTTGTAGTGAGCGGAGGGTGCTTGGCAGAGGCCACTGGCATAGTCTTTAATTGCACACCCATAGGGCATTAGGTAGTCCTAAAACAACGAACAGAGGTTGGAGAGCCGCCCTCGGCACCCCCAGGCATCTGCAGCACACCGGGACCGGGCACGCTCCCGCTCATCCCATCCCAGGGGGACAGGGAGCTGAGACCCCGGGCAGCACAGCAGGGACTGTGCCCAGGGATCTGCTCCAGCATCCCCCAGTGCTCAAACGCCCCCCCGGAGTGGGAGAAGGCGGCGGGAGAGGCTCACCTGGGAGAAGGCGGGCACGGCCACGCTGTACGGCCGCTGCTTGAAGGTGTTGCTGCCCTGTGCCGGGAAGGCCTGCGAGGCCATGCCATAGTCTGGCGGCGGGATGGAGATGTCATCCTTGTCCAGCAGGTTGCCAGTGCTGCTGCTCTTCCCTTGCTGCAGGCTGGGGGGCCCAGAGCAGAGGTGTCAGCTCCATGCAGAGACCCTCAGGCCACCCATCCGCTCATGGAAAAGCCACCCAGAGCCAGCAACCACCTTGCTGTGCTGTTATTCCTAAGGAGAGCTCCTAAGGAATACCTAATTCTCATCCCAAGGACAGACTCCCTGTCACCCCACACAACGCTCCTACCTGGTGTGGACCCGCTCGCTGCCATCATTGTCAAGGACCCGTGTGTAGGAGAAAGGAAACCAGCCCCTCCTGAAAGGCAAAGGCGAGGATGAAGCCAAACCCAGGTTTGACCACGGAGGGCCCAGAGGAGGCTGCTCCCGGGGACACCCAGCACACTCACATTTTGGTTTTCTCGCTCTCTCCGTAGTGCCAGCCGTCCCGGGCCTCGGGCACCAGCAGTGTGATGAGGTCCCCCTCCTTGAAGCTCAGGAGGGTGCTGTTATCCCCGGCAGCGTGCGAGAAAATCGCCTGCACCCTCGTCCGGCCGTTCCTCTCGAGCCCGGCGGCCATGGAGCTGGAGCGTGGCAGTGTCTTGTTTTCAGCTGTGGGAACAGACACCAGTGGGTGCCCCAAATCCCTCACCCCAAGGCCATCCCCAGGCACAGGGTCCCCACCCCTCCTTATTTCAGCACAGGTCGCACTACAGCCTTCAGTGTGACTCACGCCTTCCCCCTCACCAGGCAGGATCAGGCTCTCAGCATCACCCACCAGCCACAGCAAAGGGAGCAGGTTCCCTGTGCCATGTTCCACAAGGTTTTCCTCCTGGAAATTCTGTGAAACCCCAGGGCAGAGCCCAGCTCCAGCAATTCCTAACACCCAGGTCATGAGGCACAAGCAGCACTTGACTCCAAAGTGATGCTGTGGTCACTGTCCCCCCACCAGCAGCACCCCCAACCACATCCCCCCATGCCCCTGGAGCTCTGCTGGGGGCAGAGCCAGCTCCAGGGCCCCCGGCAGCGGGGCTGGAGCCTCACCTGAGGCGTAGCTGTTTTTCGGTGCCACGTTTTTGCGAACTGGGAGTGTATTGGAGTAAGAGTCACTCAGCTGCTTCTGAGGCTGGGGAGGAGATAAAGATTTGGGCTGTGCTGGCTTCATCTCAGACCAGTGGTTGTACCCGTCGCTGTCAGAGCCTGAGACTCCGTTCATCACTGGCATGGCCTCCTGTGCTGACATGCGCTGCGAGAGAGGAGGGGAGGGGGACACGGAGTGGCTTCATTAGGGCACCCCCTGCAGCTCCAGGGCCATCCCACTGCAGCTCCCCAGTGGGACACAGCTCCAGGGAGAGAGGCAAATCGAAGCTTTGGTTTCGTTCCCAGCCAAACCAAACTGCTCTGGGGGGAGCAGTGGGGTCTCCTCTGTGGTATCTTACTGCTTAGGGAGAGAGGCAAATCGAAGCTTCATCCTGCTTGGTTTTGTTCCCAGCCAAACCAAACTGCTCTGGGGGGAGCAGTGGGGTCTCCTCTGTGGTATCTTACTGCTCTGACCTCCCCCAAACCCGCCAATTCCCTGCTGAGCTCTATGCTTAGCTCGTGTCCCTACATCATCAGGACACCTTCTGCAGGGTCCTTCACCCCATGGGTCACTCCAGGCCTCTCTCCTGCAGTTAATGTCCCTACATCATCTGGACACCTTCTTCTGAAGGGTCCTTCACCCCATGGGTCACTCCAGGCCTCTCTCCTGCAGTTACTGGGGTACCTGGGTTCAGTCCCACAGCCTGGGGACCAGCCTGGACAGGCAGGTCCAGCCCGTGGGTTCCCCAGCAGCGCCTGGGAGCCCCTGCCCTGCCAGAGCTCAGTGACTCTGGTGGGACGGGGTGGGACAGGCTGCCCATCCCCAGGTCAGGCTCCTCCCCACATCCCAGGATGGCCCAGCACGGAGCTGCCATCCCTGCCATCAGTGACAGCCCATGCAAGGGCAACTTGCCGAGGACAGCGGTGACACCGGCCTGGCCTCGTCCCTCCGGCTTTGCTCAGAAGGGCAGGGCAGCCTCCACCACAGAGATACTTACTCCTACAAAAGGTGCCAGCTCCGGGGGGACAGGGAGAGGTTTGGCACCAGGGATGGGATCAGAGATGATGAGGTTGGACTTGGATGTGGACAGAGGGCTGGGCATGATGGTGCCATTGCTGCTGGCAGCCATCTGCTGCATCAGCTGTATGGCGCGGTCCGGGATCTTGTTGGGGTCCGAGCAGGACTGCTGCCACAGAGGCAGCTTCTGTGTCAGCATCTCCTTCCCCTGCAAGAGCAAAATGAGCTGTCAGGGCACAGGGGTGCAGGTGGTCTGCCCCCCTTCCCTGGGCAGCACCACAGGGATCCAGGGCTGAGCTGGTCTGGGATTGATCAATGGCTTTGTGCACGGCACAGGCAACAACACACAGGGACATCCTGCTTCCAGGCTCTGATGGCACCAGAGCCAGGCAGGCATCATGAAAAATGGGAATGAGGGAAGGGAGCTGCAGGGAGCTGGGTAGGGAGCTGGCCCCACATGGAGCAGAGAAATAAAACCAGGCTGAAAGCTTGGCAGGGCACAGCCCGTGCTCCAGGCTGTCCCCACATCCCGAGGGATGAGCTGCTTCCTTGGGGTGCTCAGCCCCAATGGCCTGCAGGCCCCTGTGCTGCATCCAAGCCCCACTGCTCCCTGCCTGCAGGACTGGATGCCACCTGCTACCATGCTCCAAGGGGGAAACAGATGGACCCAAACTTGTCCCTATTCAGCCAGAATGTACGAGCATCCCTTTGCGTGACTCAGAGGGGAAAGATGTCCCAACCCCCTCGAGGTCACTCCCAAGGGTGACCCAATGTCTCTGCTCTGCCTCATCTGGAGACAAAATGTGGTTCTGCATATTAAAATCCCCCACTAAATCCAATTTCAATGCCCCTCCATATTTCCCCAACACCAGCCAGCTGGTCCAGCCTCATGATCCTGTGGAGCACCCTGCAGGAGCCACGGGCAGCAGCAGGATGGAGGTTTTAGCAGGACACACAGCACGCTCTGGATGAGCCACCAGCAAAGTCCCTCCTGCAAAATCAGCCTGTGTGTGCTGCTGCAGCAAGGTTTTGGTTCGTTCCTGCTGACCACCAGCCCTGGGGAGTGCTTCTCCCCTCCTGCTCTCTGCTCGCCAAGCCAAGCGTGGATCCACGCTGTGGATGTGCCAGGACAGAGCTGACTAATCCCAGCTCCCTCTCCCGCGCCAGTGCCAAGCGTGGCGGTGACAGATGGCTGCTGTGAGCCACGGAGGGCGGTGGTGGGGAACAACCAGAACGGGAGCACGAGGCTGCAGAGCAGCACCAGCCCCTGCCTGGATGGATTCTGCTCCAGACCCATACGGGTGCTGCAGCTTCCCAGGCAGGCAGGGGGCAGCTCCAGCCCTGGTCCAGGACATGGGCAGGAGGGATGTGGAGTTACCCTGGGCAAGAGGGATTTGGAGCAGCTGCTCCTACTGGAGCACCTTCCCTGGAGTCACCTGTTGGTCCAGCACCCCCTGGGTCCCCACGCTGCAGGGGCTGCACCAGCTGTGGCTTTTGGGATCTCAGGCTGTTCTATGGGATGCAGCTGGAGCTGGGAGCACCCACCCAGTGCCAGGGCAGCCAGGCCTGGCTCTGGCAGGTCCCACTCACCTTGGCGTGGTAGGTGATGGCGCTCTTGGCCACCGCGCACTGTTTCTCCACCAGGAAGCAGAACCGTCTCCTCTCTTCCGTCAGAGCTGTCTTGTAGCCATCAGAAACGTAGTTTTCCAGCTCCCCTTGCTTGTTGCTGATGGCTTCGATGTACTGGAAGAGGGAGAGGAGCAGGGAGGGGGCTGCGGGCAGCGCTGCGGGGCGGGCGGTGCCGCAGAGGGGGCGGCAGCGCGGGCGGGACCCCAGCACGGGACACACACAGGGACACTCACGGGACACACACAGGGACGCTCACGGGACACACACAGGGACACTCACGGGACACACACAGGGACGCTCACGTGAGCCTGCACAGCCCCCAGCCCGCCCTTACTCATCGGAGCCCCCCACGCAGAGGCGCTGACTCAGCCGTGGGCTGCTCGGGACGAGCTGTACCCGCGGCCGCCCGCTCACCACCCGGGCCGGGGGCGCTGCCGGGGGCTGCCCCATGGCCCGGCACTGCCAGCGGCCCCCGCAGCCCCCAGCTCGTCCTGGCACAAACCAGCGCGGCTCCCGGCATGGCCTGGCCGTGCCCTGCCTGCTGCTGAGGGATGGCACGGGGACCCTGCCACGCACAGAGCCACCAGCGCCTCTGAACTCCCGGCAGTGCCCTCAGCCTGCATTTACCACAGGGGACACAGAGGTGCTGCTGGGCAGTGCCACACACTGGCACAGGACGCCCTGGCTGCTCCCTGGTGCCACAGCCTGGACTAGCAGACACTGGCACTGCTCTGCTGGCTCCTGCTCTCCCAGTGTGACAGGTGCCAGCATGGCTTTGCCACACTGGGCTCTGCCAGCGCCACACCTGGCACGGCAGCAGCACATGGGGGAACCCCCAGCTGCTTTGCCCTGTGTGATGGAAAGGTGGCACAGGGGACTCCAGACCACAGGGCAGCACCAGCCTCCCTGAACACAACACACGAGGTGCCCCCAGCTCCCTGACCTGGCCACTTTGTCCTCCCTCCATCGCTTGGGATGCTCCCAGCTTCCACCTGCCATGTGGCACCAGGGGAGCAGCCACAGAGGCTCTCAGAGCAGCACCTCTCACCCATTGCTGTCTCACACTGTCACACCTCCGTGCCACCACCTCTTCCCTAGGACAGCAGCACCACGACACTGGAAAGCCACAACACCCCAGCCCAGGCAGGGCTGGACCTGCTTCAGGCAGCCCAAGCTTCTCTGAGATGGGAATTAAACTGGAAATTCAGGGCCCAGAGCAGCTTTGCTGCTTCTTCACGGTTATCAGTTATTTTTAGCGTGCTACAATATTTATTAAGAGATACATAAAATGGAGCAAACCAACAGAAGCAGCAAGATTCAGTGACATCCTAGACTTCAAAGGGGGATTATTTTGGGGCTGGACTTGCTCCTGGCTCCCACCCTGCTCCGAGCACCCCCTGAGAACAAAACCCAGTGCAGGGTTGTAGCCAGCAGGTTTTGGGTCTCCCCACATTGCACCAACCCGGGTGAGAGAAAGAGCATTGGTGAGAAATGGATTAAAAACCTGGTTTGCAACCAACAACCCTATTTCAAAGAGATTTTTTTCTCCAAAACGAGAAAATCGAGGGCAAACGCCTGTGGCCATGAGGAGGGAGCTGAGCTGATGGCACTGGGCACACGGGTGGAAGTGATGGAGGTTTTGGCATCACCCCGAAGCAGAGACACAGGGCATGGCACTTGGAACACTGGGCAGCAGCCAGGCTGTGCCAGCACAGAGGCGCTGGGGCAGCGTGGCACAGGAAGAGGCAGCAGCAGCTCCTGGCACACAGAGCCCCTGGAGGAGGAAGAGCTGGGGAAGGCTCGGGACAGCAGCACGCCGCCTCCTCCCGGGTATTATTAGCCTGGGAACAGCGCAGGGACAGAGCCCAGAGGCAGCAGCCTGGCAGTGGTGATGGGAGCTGGGGAATGGTGCCCCAGTGCCAGCCCCAGTGCCAGCCTGGAGAGCCCCCAGCCCCTCCAGCACAGCCCTGCTGTGCCTGGGATGGACTGAGCCCTGCTGCCCACACTCATCCACACCATGGGCAGCTCCACAAGAAGTTCCTACCCCAGGGGAAGGGGCAGGACAGCGCTCCCCCTCCTGCAGAGCCCCATTTCTGGAAGGAAAGCACAACCCTGACAGTGCCTGAAATAGCAGGAGCACACACAGACCCCGATCCCCATTCATTTAATTAATTTAATTTTTCCCCATCATCCTGCTTAATTTACTAACTGGGCCACCAAGAACGAGAAGGTGAGGAGTGAAAAGAGCTCAGCTCCAGCTAATTTGGCTCAGCAGCACGAGGCCCATCCCGCCACGATTCCCTGCAGGATCCCCATCCCGGGGTCAGGCACGGCTCCAGCCCAGACACCACAACACAGGGAGAACCCCTGATCTTAGCAGCTGAGAGCTCCAGCTCTCAGCAGGATTTAAATACGCAGGTACAAGCCTTATTTACACCCTGCTCTCAGGCTGGTTTTGCAAGGCTCCTGCTAATTCCTGTGTGAGAAAGGCTTGTCTCAGCCAGTCGGAACACGCCGCTCCGCGAGCGCAGAGCCCACGCTCTAAACTTAGTACTCAGAGCTTTATATACTTTATGTAAATATGCTCCGTGTGCCATTGATTTACCCAGAGCTTTGATTTTACACGTTGTTCCATCACAAAATGGCGAGCGACACTCCTTGTTCACGAGGTGGTTTTCAGTTTGGGTTTGCTCAGAATGACAGTGGGCTTTCAGATAACGCCCAGAAAGGCAAATTTAAATAAAAAGCCTGTTAAATATGCCAGATGCACGGGGGAAAAGTAGCACACAAAGCACAGTGTAAGATCTCTGCACTCCAAGGAGAAGCTCTGCCTTACCCAGGACTGAGGCTTCACCTGCAGCCGGGACCTCAGGGCTGCTGCTCTCATCTCCATTCCCCAGAAATGGGGGAAATCTCAGCCACCCCACACCCTGAACCACAGCAAACACCTCTCCCAGCTTGGCATGATCTGATCCCCTGTAAGGGCTGGGGGAAGGGTCTTTCCTGCCAGGCTCAGCAGCTTCTCCAAAACCCCACTGACAAGCACAAACCACTCAAGCACTGAAAACCGAGACCTTGACTGATTGAGGTTGTCAGCTTCAAATTCACATGTTAAGAATCGTCTAAATAAAATTCCCAGTTAGAAGGAGGAGAAAGAGACCCCGCTTGTGATCCGAGCAGGCAGGGAGGCAGCCAGGCCGGTGGTCGTGCCCAAAGCCAGGGCACACCCCAGAGCCACCCAACAGCTCCAGAAAATCCTTTCTGGGTTTCTAGGTTGGAGAGGCCTCAAATAACTCCCCCGTGCCGCGCCCCCCCGCCTCCCACATCCACTTCCAATTCACAGGGAGCCGCTGACCTAATTAGCAGTGTCAGCACGTGGCGGCGCCGGGCAGCGGCTTCGGCGCTGGGATTCTTCCAGGACGCTGCCACGGGGCCAGGCTGGCAGAGCCAGGCTCCTGCCCGCTCCTGGGGCACCCCTGCCCACGGGGGCTCAGCCAGGGACCCCCAGGGTGGGCACAGGAGAGGGGCTGGAGCCACGGCGGGCAGCCCCCGTGCCAACGCCGAGCCGCCCCGCGGGTCAGACGGAATTAGGAGCACGAGCAGATGAAAAGGGAAGGAGCTGCTGCCAAGTGCCAGCTCGAGCAGCCGCTGTCGTCCTGCAGAGAAAGGCAGGGCACACAGCCCTGCCACCTCCCCAAGGCCACGGTGACAGCTCGGGGAGGGGGGGAGATCAAAGAGCAGCTGAGAAATGTCAAGCCCCGAGCTGCCAGGAGCACACGATGCTGTCAGCACAGGTGGAGCAGCAGCGAGCTCCAGCCCAGCCTTTGATAAGCACAGCCTCGCTGGGAAATCAGTTCAGACCTCCCATCCTTCCCAGGAAGGTGCAAACACAGGGAACACGAGCCAAGGGCTGAGCTCCACCACAGGAATCATCACTCCAGATCCTTCGTGGTGTGTTTGGCACCGACCAGGCTGAGCCAAGCGCCGGCCCCAGGGACAAGAGGGGACCCCCAGCAGGCAGGAGCTGCCTTGGGGTCACCAGCACAGCACAGCCGTGAATTTTGGGGCCAGAAAGTCAAGGGGAGCACATGGCAGGCACATTTCCACCCAGCAGCAGGAGGGATGCAGAGCAGGGAGGGGCTGTGCCCACTCCAGCTCTCATGGCAAGGAAGGATTGGTCAGGACCAGTGGCACAGAGCAGTGGAAAAAGAGAAAGGAAAGGTCAGGGAAGAGAAAGGACTGTGCTGGATCGATGCAGCAGGCTGAAATACCTGGAAGGAGTAAACATGGAGAGAAGGGAGGATTTGTTTAGGCAATCACGAGGGAGAATAGCTAGAAATGGGAGAGGATAAAAAAGAAGCTGGGTTGATTAGCAGGGGAAGAGCATCTGAGCAGGCAAACCTGCTGATCCCCACCACAGCACAAAGGCAGAATGAGCAGAGCAAGCAGCCAGGGATCCTCAGCCTGGACAGCTCTTCCTCATTCCCAGAAACTGCTGCTTGTGAGGCAGCTGGCAGACCCTGGAGCAGCCTCAGGGGTGGCACTGTCCCCTCCTGGCTCCTGCAGCCCCCACCCAGGGAGGTTGGGTGCTGTGTCCAGCCAGGCACGGCCGTGCTGGATCCCAGCCTGGGGCTATCCCAGGCTCTTCCACAGCCAGGAAGGAGAGCAAAGCTCGGGATGAGCCCTGACCCAACCTCTCCTGTAATACGGCAAATAAAACAACAGCCCCACAGCAGGGAATGGCCACCACAGGAGCCCAAACACATTTCCCTGCCTTCTGCAGGGTCACTGACCCTGCAGGAGCCCCCCAGAACCACAGCAGAGCCCTGCAGGTTTCCCAGGGGGGGACAAACTCCCTGCCCCACACAGCAGCAGCCCCCAGGCAGCAGGAGGGAAGGCCCTGGCCCTGATGTGCTGCCCCCAGCCTCCCCTGTTGGGCTGCAGCCAAAGCTCCATGGGGTGGAAGCTGGGCCAGGGCTGCTGATGGTTATCCGAGGTGATGGGAAAGGCAGAGCAGATCCTGGGGAGGCAGCCCCCAGAGGCAGGGATGCAGGCTGCCCTCCTCCCCTGGGAAGGGCTGTCTCCCCTCGTTTGTCACAGCTGCAGCAGCCCCA